CAACAATATTGGAAATGAAACATTGGTAAGGATAATTATAAAATCAGGATATAACTACTTTAAGTTCCCATGGGAAATCATTGACTTAATGCTGTCAGTGTAAGCAATAAAATCGTGTAAAGCACCACTCGACAGATACAATCGTTTTTGATTATGAACAATAACGGGGCGGGTTTGCATGCATATAGCATACAATTCTCTTTGAACCTAGCACACAACAATGGCATTATACATTGTCTCATCGCCCTTGGAAGGTCCGATGACCTAAAAGTTACGAGAACGCCATCAGTTTTTCAATATGAAGAGAACTATTGGGAGTTGTAAATAAGGATAATATATAATCATCAGAATTACCCGAACTAACTGCACGTGAATGACAGAGTCAAGTATTACTCGCAGTGAAATAATGTACAGTAGTTTTACAAACTGACTGGATGTGTCCAATCAAACCACATTTAAAACATGTACCATTACGAAGTACACACGCATCACATGAGTGAAATTGACCTCAGGACAAACATTTACCGAACTTGTATTTATCTTAGTGACCTGCTTCGCAATTCCTCAATGAAATGTGATCTGCATGATCTTGAGTATATAATGAATTGAGATAATTAGGTAGTTGAATGGAGTTCTTGATGTCTTAAAAGTCGATTTCATGTACTGTCTCATAATTAATATACGCATTTATAGCATTATTAAAGGAACACTTCGATACTTGCATGGGCTATCCTTCCAGATCAGGCACGTTTATCCCTTCAGATAACCAATCAATCGACCGATCGATCCCATAGATGGATATGGAGTTTATCACCAAAATTGCATTCGGCAGCTTGTTTTGCAATTCAGTTATACATTCTCCAACGTTCTGGTTATTCTGGCGAATCATTTTATGAACGTCTCCCCTTTCACAACATCCAAACCTGGTGCACTTCACATAATTTAATAGTAGTTCATTAAGAGTTTCATAAGGAACTGAGATCGGCTTATCTGGTAATGCTAAAGTTTCTAATAATCTGTAGACTTTTCAGATGAATGTAAGAGACCTGTTATTCGAAACCAAACACTCAAGACGTACAAAGGAATCGTTAATTTTTACTAACATTAAAATTCTCCAACCTTTCGGTTATTCTAATGAAGCATTTTTTGAAAGTTTGTCTTTCGCGACATTCAAAACTAGTACACTCTAAATGATTTCACAATAGTTGTTTGAGAGTTACATACGTAAGTGAAATAGGTTTGTCAGTGAATGCTAAAGTTTTTAATAAGCTGTAGGCTTCGTTCCCAATGAATATGAGGAAATGTGTGACAGTTTTATCATCTTTAAAATCTCTCCTAGACATACTACACATTTTAGACCTTCCCATGTAATCTTCAAAAGGTTCAGAACTTGAATATATATCCAACTGTTCAAACACAGGCTCCATCTTGATACTACGAATTCCTGGAATAGTTCAATTCAGACCAAATAGAACTAGCTGAGCACAAACCATCGTATTGTATCTACGGTTCGAAATCATTTAGGAATCATTGACAAAAAAATCATTAGTTCATACAAATACCAAATTGTAGCATTCCGCCAATTTCCAATGTGAGAAACAACTAGCGGATGAACAAAAGACGTTTGGCAACGTATTTTATTCATTTCACAATTTCAGTCATGCAATACACTACACTGATTCTGTGTGTATGTATGTGTACCTGTGTGTGAACCAATAATTTCAGCCAGAACACATTCTCTTGATTAAAGTACTATCTAGTTCAATCCTGATATTCTTCGCCAGTAACCTTGAACTTATATTCACTGAGTGAGTGATTCCAAATGAATTATACTCAATGTGACATTGAATTCACTATATGTTTCTAATTAACAAATGGAATTCAGTGTGTTGTTTTAAAGCTATCAATGATTGTTTATGTTGTACTTATCATAAAGTAAACTGATAAATGACACGTTTTCAACATTAACTGAAAGATATAGACAATTCCTTCTTCACAACCAGTTGTAATCATACTTAAACCACACCCTATTATCATTAACTGAATACTATTGGTTGCTTATCAGCTTACTCATTTGCATTCCATCGTCTACTGGTTTCATTAGTTATACTCAGATATTTTTGATCGATATCAGTTTCTTCAACAGTAATATATAAATTTCTAATAAGAGATGGTTTTCATTGTGTTTAGTCCAGTGTCATTTCATTTACCAAAATGAAGGTGATTAATGTTTGGTTACTGTTTATCATTACCATTATGTTCATAGTTCTCGTTCATTCTGACGATCAATGTAAGTGAAAGATTTAGTAAACGTTTTCTCTTATCCCTCTGAACTTGAATTTATTAATCAAGTGGACGCATCCATGCCTTTAATATTATGATAATCTAAAGCTCAAATATGTATGATTGATGATAGTAATACTGGTTCTTGCTGTTTAACACTCTGAAAGTCATAGCAGTCATATGTTGGCAAATTCCATAAATGCGTTAATAGATTGCTTTCTCTATCCAACAGTTTATTTTAATCTGTTTTTTCTTCGTATACGTCCATCTGAAGTGACGTGTAGCAATTTGGATGACTCTCCCGGCCTCCCACATTGTAAGAGCATCCCATCTACTTAAATTAATGGTTACTTTGATTGTCAGAAGGCGTATCAGCCTCGTGACTTCCAAAGGAAATCGGCTTTCACCATGAAGCATCCTAGATGAAGAGCGTCTAACTCTCAGGGTAGAATTTAGATGATTTGAATTATTTTTTCAGGTTAGCGCTTTTTAGCAAGTTAGTTTTCTAAAGGATGTGGTCGCTAACCTCATGCCCAACCCTCCTCCTTTATTCAGGTTTGGGACCGACAGCAGCCTTAGGAAGGAATCTGGGGGAGTTATCTGCAGTGAGGTGGTTGGGATGTTATCTTACTGTTTAATGATAACACATGATTTTCAACATGTTCCAAGCCGATGTGATGTGTGAACATCTTCAACAAAACTTCGTTATCAGTATTTTGCCACCGATCAATACACAAAGTAAGAAAGAGTATAGTGAACAGAATGAATACTTTTAAAATGAAAACATGTTACAACTAAATTAAAATTCACAAAACGGAATCAGTTCAATATACGGAATACATCATACGAAGACTGAAGTTAGTCCTCCGCACTTCTTAACAATCTTGATCAATTCAGTAATACTTACTTGCTTACTTACGCCTGTTACTCCTCGTGAAAGAACATAGGCCGCTCTCCATCCAACCCTGTCCTGGGCAATCCCTTCCAGCTCTTCCCAGTTGCTGTTCATCTTTTTCATATCTGCTTCTATTTACCGACGTGATGTGTTATTTGGCCTTCCTCATTTCTGTTTCCCTTCAGGATTCCAAGTTAGGGCTTGCCCGTGATGCAGCTCGATGATTTGCGTAACCAGCTGGAAGCTGGTTTGTTCCCTCCCACAGAAGGCTGTTGCTGATCGTATCCGGCAATTGGATGTTGAGTATCTTGCGTAGAAAACCATTTATAAATACTTGTACCTTCTTTATGGTGGTTGTAGTGGTTCTCCACATTTCAGCTCCGTACAGTAGAACTGCCTTGACGTTCGTATTGAAGATTCTCACTTTGATATTGGTTGGAAGTTATTTTGAGTTCCATATGTTCTTCAATTGTAGGAATGTTCCTTGTTTGCCAATCTTTACCTTTACGTCTGCATTTGATCTTCTTTGTTCATTGATGATGCTTTCCAGGTATGTGAAGGATTCTACATCTTCCACAGTTTCGCCATCAAGAGTGATTATGTTGCTGTTCTCCGTCTTGTATTTGAGGACCTTGGTTTTCCCCTTGTGTATGTTGAGGCCTACTGACGCAGAGACTTCTGCTAATTCAATAATAACAAAAACATAAAACAATTTAGATATCATCGTTAGAACGACTTCTGTGTAGATACTCTATCTTTAGAATGATCTAGATTGTTATGTAATCTAAATATCGTACAAATTATCATAAAACATAAATACAGAGGCATGAATTGAGTCTTTGACGTCAGTTCAGTTAATAATGACGTATGTACTATCATCATTTGGTTATGAATATTTTCCTTTCTTCTTGTTCTTCATTTTGTATACTTACGGCAAAAATTCATTCTATTACAGCATTCAAATTACCAGAATGTAAGTGATACAAAATCAATATCTTTTTGATATTTCCTTGTTTCATGAAACAACATACAAACTTATCATGAATGTAACATAATTCCATGGGTATTTTCTTGTTGAATTTGTAGCGAAACCTTTAGTCTACCACAGAAAATGCTACAAAATAGGTAAGAATAAAAAATTGATGATGTATATTTATGTGTCTTTTATAACTTGTCAACCGATAATAATTTATTACGATACGATTGACAACTAAAGAACAAACACATCTCGATCGGACAAATGACGCAGCAACGTGTATAGGAAGCTTATAGATCTTACAGGTCCTTTAACTGCCTAGCCCTGTATAAAGATGATCAGAACGCCAATCTCGGCCTACACGATCCTATCGGATACTATTAATTTTTCTCGTACATATAAAAGAAATATTTGTTGAGGAAAGTCAAATAACATGACCGAATATGATGAAGTCAATGATTTGGAGGAAGGAACATGATGTAGGTAGAAAGTAAAGAAATGATCAATAAGATAAATAAGTTGCAAATCATTATCACAATTAATTACGGGTTTCGTTAACTTGAAATGAATAATATAAAAGGCAAACATGAAAGAACTGGAATAATCAGGCTGGAATGTTGAGTGTAGAATGAATGAATGTGATTAGCAAAGATGAGCTTTAAAATTTAATAGAAGCAACAAAGTTGAATTGAAAACATTAAAAAAATTGCACCATTAATGTATTAAATCGATATTGCTTTGAATAAATTGGCTGGAATCGCAATCGTAGTGCAAACTAGTGAACAAGTTATCACAAAACAAATACTGTCTGATCAGGCAATCATTGAACATACGAATACAGAAGAAATGATTACTGAGAATACAAACGATGAAAAACGTGTGGAAGAAGAGACGGCCAATGAACAACTGAACACAACAGAGTCGACTCCTGAACAAACGACCACAGAGGGAGAAACCACTGAGAAAACGACTACTGCAGAAGGTAAGTCCAGCCTCTTTAATACGCCTACATTTTCCCACTTATATATCAGTCGACAACACTATCAATCTGCATATATATACGCGAGTATATGCTCTTCAGAGAACTAGACATTTAGTTTCATCTTATTGTTATTTTCCATCGCCATACTCTTTATTTTCACAATCAATAGATTAGTACTTGTTCGTCGTTTCACGCAAATCAATAATTCTACAGATCTTGTTATCAAACAAATGCATTTGATTTCAGTGTTTTCGCCGTGTTTATGACACATCGAACGCAATTGTTAAAACTGATAAACTGTAGACGTGACTTTCTCCAATTTCCCACAACAAGTAACTAAATTTCTAATATGAACAGCGTTTAAGTAAACATTGTTTGATATCATAAAGGGATAAGATCCATGAACCCTACTGTTGCAAATCAGGAGACAGAAGACTGGAGAAGTGCGTGTTGGGTAAGAAACAAAGTGTACAGAAAATCACGGGTATGTATAGGCATCAGAGTTTGTTATATCGACATCATGATTCAGTCGATCTGCAGAGAGGCATGTTATGAATGTTATGTCCAATAGTGGCATGTCACGTTGATGTTCTGATTGGATGTAAATCTTGGGATCGACGAAAACATTGCAATTGCTCTCCTTCCAGACGATTGTTTGGCCACTTAGTCGAATGATAGCACTTGACTCTGTTCAATGTGGTGGTTTTCTCGATAGCTTCGAAGGTAACCGGAAGTTCGTCGATTGCGTCACCCAATACACGACGAACTTCTTTCTCAGCCGTTGTATTTGCCACGAGAGTGTCTTCTGGCGTTTTTGACTGTGAACCTAATAATCTTGATAACGCGTCAGCATGCCGGGAATCGGCGAAATCGTAATCCAGGAGTGTTGTTCCCCATAGTTGTAGCCGGCTAGCTGTGTGAACATTAGTGTCTTCCTTCGACCCAAGTACGTCAAGTGATGGCCGACCAAATATTATCTTGTGGAGTAGTTTGCTGCAGGGATAATCGATAGAGCCTCTTTCTCGATATGACTATAGTTCTATCTAGTTGTTGTCAATAATCTGGTAGCACGGAAGATTTCTTTTTCGGACCCATCAGAGAAAATTTGAGGAATCACTGCTTCGATAACATAGTTCGAAGCATCTGAAGCAACCACAATTGGTAGAGAAGGATCCTGATGGAAGCTAGGAGTTGTTTGATTTTCTCGAAAGATGCTTGACATTTTGCCGACCAATCCCGTTTTGTATTGTTCTTTAGCAGTCGGTCTAGTGAGACACGCAGACGATGAACATCAGGGATGAAGGTGTCATAATGACTGGCCAATTTCAAGAAGTATGGTAGATTGAGGATTTACCTGGGTCTAGGCGTGGTTTTCACAGCTTCAATGGTCTCTGGATCCAGGTGTCTTCTATCTTTATCTTTTATCAAACCGAGAAACCGTAACTGCTGCGCACACAAGTCGCACTTTTCCGCGCAGAGGCGAAAACCATATCTGGCTATGTGCTCCAGCACCTGGTCCGGTTTCTTCTGCAGGTTCATTCTATTTGTTCCCATGATTATGACGTAGTCTAAATAAGCTGCCACCCCTGGAAAAACGTGTAACATGATATCCATAATTTACCGGAAATTAGGGGGCGCCGTCTTCACTCCAAAAGGTAGTCGGTTATATAGGAACAGACTCTTGTGCTTGTTGATCGTTAGGAAATCTTCACTTTCATCAGATACAGGAATTTGTAAATGTGCGTTTAGTAAATCCAGTTTCGCAAAATACCTGACAGTCATCACCTTGGTGAAGAGTTCTTTTGGTAGGGTTGAAGTATACTGGTGAGACTCTTGAGCTTCACTTACTCCGGTGGAATAATCTGCACATGGACGAACGCTTCAATTAAAATCATTGACCACCACTATTGGTGCTGCCTAATGTCAGAAGTTTACGGGTTCAATAATACCCATTTTCTGAAACCGTTCTAATCTCTGATCATCTACCGGAAGGGCAGCATGAGGCAGAGGTCTGTTAGGTCGAAAAACTTGAGTAGCTTCAGGTTTGACGTTTTGTAATGCCTTGGCTTTCATACATTCTCCCAATCCTTCTGTCAACACATGATGGTGTTTTTGTAGCACGGCATTCTTCTGGTCTCACTCTGAACGTTATCAGTTCTGATTCGGCTGCATATGTTGTTAATCGAATGCTCGGTTAGTTTTAGTGCCTCTATCCAATCTAACCCCAAAAATTCGAGTGCTGGATTCTTTGTAACATATATCGTTGCATTCGTTGTCACGTGACCTTTAGAAACGGTGCAAGGTACTGCTCCAACAATGTTTATCTTCTCACCAGATGCACTGTGTGCTAGTTGTGTTATTGGATAAACCGTGGGTCCCTCAATATTCCCCCGAGTTTCTAGGCTGGTCAGAGTAAAATCAGGTGCTGTACCAAGTTGAAGACAAGCACGTTGTTTATCATTATCTAAGGCTACATACTTTCTTAGGCAGTACATTCGTGCGCTGTTATGAGATGCCAATATTTTGTCAGTTATCACAACAAGTCTGTATTTATTGAAGAAAGGGTTTTGAAGAATGACGCCGGCGGGTTCTCTTTGAAAAGCTGGTTTCATTATGACCCGTACGATGAAATTTAGCACAACAATGTTCTTCATGTAGGATTAGATCCATGAATCCTACCGTCACAAATCAGAAGACAAAAGAAGACTGGAGAAGTGCTTGTTGGGTAAGAATCGAAGTGTACAGAAAATCACGGGTATGTATAGGCATTTGTTGGGATATTCAGGAAAATATCCCAAAATTATCCTGTTAAGCCTAATGCTATCCTTGGACATGAAACGGTATCATCTTATTGGTCAATATTTGTTTAACGTGTCATTTTCCTACTGGCCATTATTGTACAATGTTATTTTCTATTTTATGGTACGTTGTGGACTGCTTGACTGGTATATAAACAAAGTATGTTTGTAATATAATGATTCATATATCCGAGGCTGAAACTTGTGTTCTGGACTCAACCGGCTGGGCTAGACAGGGAAGCGGGATCAATCAGAACCCTAGGTCGTTCTACGTGTTTGCGCGTCTTTGGTCCGATCAATAATTCGCTACCCATCTAATCAGAAGCATTTTTTCACGTTATAACACATTAGAGTTTGTTATATCGACATCATGATTCAGTCGATCTGCAGAGAGGCGCGTTATGAACGTTATGTCCAATAGTGGAATGTCACGTTGATGTTCTGATTGGATGTAAATCTTAGAGCCTCTGGGTACTCCATCGTGTTGCTCGAAAGCCGTCCCAACACATTCGTGGAATGGGATTTCTCCCCTGGATTCACTTGTAGCCTGATGACTGATTTGTGACAGCATACCATTTTGTTCACCGACTTCCTGGTACAGGTCATGTGCGTCAGTATTCTTGTGCGTGTGTCGTTGATGTGTCTGACGTTTACTCGAGTGGATGATTCAGCTGATTATCTCGAGTGCGCAACATTATTTTATTACTAAGAATTTGGTTTTGTAGATCAAATTGCATCATTAATAAACTTAAATTGATATTGTTTTTAATAAATTGGCTGGAACTGCAACCGTAGTGCAAACTAGTGAACAAGTTATCACAAAACAAATACTGTCTGATCAGGCAATCATTGAACATACGAATACAGAAGAAATGATTACTGAGAATACAAACGATGAAAAACGTGTGGAAGAAGAGACGGCCAATGAACAACTGAACACAACAGAGTCGACTCCTGAACAAACGACCACAGAGGGAGAAACCACTGAGAAAACGACTACTGCAGAAGGTAAGTCCAGCCTCTTTAATACGCCTACATTTTCCCACTTATATATCAGTCGACAACACTATCAATCTGCATATATATACGCGAGTATATGCTCTTCAGAGAACTAGACATTTAGTTTCATCTTATTGTTATTTTCCATCGCCATACTCTTTATTTTCACAATCAATAGATTAGTGCTTGTTCGTCGTTTCACGCAAATCAATAATTCTACAGATCTTGTTATCAAACAAATGCATTTGATTTCAGTGTTTTCGCCGTGTTTATGACACATCGAACGCAATTGTTAAAACTGATAAACTGTAGACGTGACTTTCTCCAATTTCCCACAACAAGTAACTAAATTTCTAATATGAACAGCGTTTAAGTAAACATTGTTTGATATCATAAAGGGATAAGATCCATGAACCCTACTGTTGCAAATCAGGAGACAGAAGACTGGAGAAGTGCGTGTTGGGTAAGAAACAAAGTGTACAGAAAATCACGGGTATGTATAGGCATCAGAGTTTGTTATATCGACATCATGATTCAGTCGATCTGCAGAGAGGCATGTTATGAATGTTATGTCCAATAGTGGCATGTCACGTTGATGTTCTGATTGGATGTTATTCTTAGGGCTTCTTGGTACTCCATCGTGTTGCTCGGGTTGCGTTCCAACAAATATCCCTTTCTGAAATTAGATAAGTTCATATTCGAGTCCCATATATCACCCTTTGCAATTTCCGGCCTTGTTTTTTATTCATAATTTGCCGTTAGAACTTATGAAGTAGTATAATACGGTGGTTAGTGAAGCATATTGATTTAAAAGGAAGTTATGTGAATCGATATTTCAGTATTCGTTATGAATATTGTGTTATACTTTACTGATATTTATTTCACTTCTTCACGTCATCATTTGTTGGATATCGTTATATTTCTCCATTGCTGCGGAATATTCTTAACTGTTATACGTATCACCACACAGAATGTACCTACTGAATAAACTGATCAATCACTTAGGCTTATTTGATAAAATACAAATTTATGGCTGTTATTTGTTTATAGAAAGTTCTGATTCCTTTCTTCTCTTTGTATTCAGATCAATATGACTATGAGTTCGGGGAACCTGATGTGAACTGTAGGTGCACTGTTTCCATGATTCACTTATTTTTTTATTTTCGATTATCGTTTACTTCATTCAATTTTTTTCCACTATTTTCCTCTCGGAATGAAAGCTCGTATAATTTACAGTAACGTAATGATTGAAATCATGTATCAAATAATGTTAGACCACCATGGTAAACCTCGGAGCACTGGACGTCGGTTGATCCTAGTATGGAACGCCTCAGTAGTATACATCTACGATTCCGCACGCGGGTTTTGAACCCAAGAACCTCGATGTCGCGCACGAACGCTTAGCCTCCAGACCGCTGAACTGGTGTCTAACGATGCTAATGTCTAACTTCAACCAATTCACGATATTGAGCGACCGTTATTAACTATCTTCAGTTAGTAACTTCCTCATAACAGACACGGTTTGACTACACTGGTCACGTCTACTCTAAAGAACTCAAGGAAAAACATCTTGAAGCCAGTCACCAGTGAGCACATATTAATTATTGTCAGATCAACCAAATAACTTTCATCATTCTTTATAAATATTGGTGACTGCATTTAGTGGAACTTTTTTCCTAATTTTCAATATGTTTCCAGATATCTTTCCTCCGTTCATTCTCATTTTAAGCTAAGTTGATCTATTCATAGTTTATTATTATAATCCATTTTTACAGAATTCATAGATGTGTCAGCTGGTTAAATGAAAGATATTGCAAACGAAAAAAACACATATGATCGTTGATTGTCTGTAATCTATTTTGCTTTACTTTATGATTTTAATATATAACTTTAAAATGAAGTCTAACGTTGTATTTTAACACCTGGTGATTACCAGGTGGTGATCAATCGATTGTAAATACATCTCAGTCCTACAGTAGGTTAAACATGGCCCGGATGGCTGAGTAATAAAGTCTCTGACCGAGAAGCTGGGTGACACAGGATCGGATCCGTGAGGGAACGCCAGTTCCCTTACGATTACAGGTATACCTTGCTGATGAGTGCCAAGTAGCACAAAGCCCAGGTCCAGAGTTTCCTGTTGACTACCTTCAAACACCACCTTATCCCAACATTTGTCTTAAATATGTTGTTGTTTGTTCACAACTGGTTTGCAGTGTTCAGCAGATGAACTGGACTTCGGAATGACATGAAGCCTGCCACGAGAGTTCACCAATCGAACTGTCGGCCTGCTGATACACGTGTACTGTCGCGAGCTATATACAAACTGAAGAATTTTAGTACTCATCCACACATTTAGATAAAGTATGACGAAACGAAGGCGCCACTCAACACAACATTCGTGTACCCATTCAATGTTGTCTCAAGAAAGCAAATATTTCGTTATGTGTGAATATGGTAAGGCAAACATATTAAGTGTTGATCGGCTGCAACTGAGTTATCTAGACAATGAACTGCCGTATGCGGTATTGAACTGTTTGTCTGTAGATTTAATCGAAGAATTGACAAATAACGAGGCAAATTCTCTACACATGACCTAAAAGTTTATGTAAGCACAATTCATTATGCAACCAGGGACATCTAAAGTTTTAGGTCAGTCCTGAAATATCACCATTTACGCAATAGAATTTCGGTATATTAAACTTTTTGTATGTATTAAAGCAATAAAGGAATGAAACAAACATACTGTTACTCTGATCTTTGTAAAAACCAGACAAAAATTGTGCCGAAACATTGATATCTTTCAGCAGTTGATACCCGCATATACTCGGATCATTTGCTTTCTATGCAGGAGCATTATAGTTGCGTTCACACTCAGTACATAGGAGGTTAGCTCACAATAATCCAACGAGAACTTAGAGTCAAACACTTAACAAAAGCAGTGATTAGTCAAAAAGGAACGGCTGAGGTGAGTGGTATGTATTAGACATACCTGTGGAATCAACACACAAGGAGTAACGTGACAGTTAGACTGAGCTCTGAGAGTAATATTCGAACACGCCAAGTCAGCAATTTGATTCCTTTTAACTCGTGTCTTCGTCAAACAGTAAAGTTTGAGGCATTTTACAATCACCGAATGATGATAGACTTGCCCTTTGGCTGCACTAAAGTTAACGAATACAGTGGTCAATATGATCCAAACCTAAAGCTTGACATGTTGTCCCTGTAAATCGTTTTCTGAGCAGAATTAGGGTGTTCTTATCTGTAGAGAAGTGTGATTCTTGTTATCTCTCGTTTAGAGGCTGAGGAATAAACAAATTACTCAGCATTGGAAGAGATTGAAGAAAAACACTTGCAAAGACCTAGCTCAGTACCTAAAATGTCACGGGTACGCAGTGCGTAAGATTACAGTTTTCTTAAATTTCTTCTTATTCGGGGCCCCCAAAGTAAGTTAGACCAAAATTTAGGACTAAAATGACTGAATGGTAGCAAAAATGAAACAAGTATTCGGATTTTGACAACACTTTCAGTAGTAACAACTTTTTAATAGAAGTATTTCAACCCAGTCAAATCAGAAGTCACAAATGAAGTGGTTCAATGTTATATTTGAAAGGCTATCAGTATGTCGAAAAAAGTTTGATCTAAGCTTACTAATAGTCGAAAGGAAGGCGTAGCACGTTTGATTCGTGATATGGAGCGGATGCATGACCGAGCGCCTTCAGCTAGGTTAGCCAAGTAAAGCTAAGTTGTTCAACATCAAACGTCCAAGAATTACAGACTTACAAGTCACCCCCATTTGTGGGGTGGTGATGACCCTAAGACACGACCGTCCAGAATTTTCAACCCAGCGAGGTTGTTGTCGGTAAACATTCTTCTGATAGCTTGCTATGTTCAGCGGATTCTGGTTGTCTTTCCATACTATACGTGCCATTTGGTACAACGTAGTAATAAAAAACAAGTGCAATGAAAAATTCGATTAATCGTAGTCTTTGTCGGTTTCTCATGTTTTCCAGGCGTCGCAGAAAAGAAAAAGAGGAATTGTAGGTGCATGTCAAAATATACTTGTACGTGCGTAATAACGCAAACGAATAACGGGAATAAACCACAGTACATGCGTTTTCTTTATGTACAATAGCGAGGAAACGATTTCAGCCCAATGAGTAGTTTTGTGAAGTAAATAATAAAGTTAAGCGCATACATGAGCGTAATAGAAAAACCTTTTGGTTTTTTGACACAATGATGCAGAAAACGAGACAAAACAAAATGTTATGTTGCGTCCTACGTGCAGAGGTCGTTCAAGTGTTCCGGGAACCTTATCCTTCTTCTTGATTTAGGTCGGTTGTCAGTTACCACTGAAGTTCGTTCGTGATTGCTAATTATCTAATAGGGTGTCGTAATTGTGGGGCTCGTGTCGTTCAATTGCACCGTAGGAAAATTGACATGATTAGGGTCTCCTTTTAACTGCGCGACTTTCAGACGGTCAATGCTGGTGTTGTCGTTAGACACGTTTTTGTCGAAGATATAGTAATTAGGTTCAAGCTAGAAGACTTTGAAAGATCTTTCGTATGCCACTATGAGAGTTCACTATGATGAGTCACGATGTACAAAGACATGTGCACTATATCTTAGGGTGGGTCAAACGAGTGGAAAAAGATTTAACTGAACACATTGAGTTTGTAAGCTTGTACGTGTGAGTTTAGATCCTTTTTCCTTGGAAAAGATGAAGGATTCACGAATTCTCCCAGAAGTCTGGGCGTTTTTTCATAAACGAGTTGAGCTGAAGTGTTCTCAAGTCGGTATGGCGAATCCCAAGTGAAACGACTAAATATCGGTCCATTGTGAAGTGTTTGCAGTCAAGAGTAAAGCTTTAAGTTGTCGATGAAAACGTTCTACTAACTCGTATGCTTGTGGGTGGTAGGCGGTCGTTAAGAATCGTGTGATTCCTATTATTGTGATCAGATAACGGAAAAGGAGGGAGGGTGGAGTTACTGACCAGCAAGCATTGATGGTGA